TTGTTGGTCTGTTGTCTCTGTTTGGACTGGAGCCAGAGACCGGCCCAGTCGGCCATTTCCCGACCAACATTCACTTGCCCAATGATAACCCTTCTGACACTTTGGGCATTTTGTTTTCAGTTTCGATCCCGGATGGAAAGGGGAGCGAGATGCTGCAGACATACCCCCTCCTGGATTTCTACATTCCCTTTTAAAATGACCGGGTTTGCCACAGTTGTAACACTTTCCTTGAGGCTTGGTGCCTTGTGATAAAGCAGCCGCCAATAAATTGGTTTGGTAAGAGGCTGTTCCTACATCTTGACATGCTCTAATCATATCTGCCAAATCAGGATTTTTCCCCAGACTGATAATTGCCCTTCGACATTCAGAAGTGGCATTGTCCTTTGCCAGCCTCATCAACAATTCCTTCAGAGCTTCAGGATTGTCTATCTGCCGCCGTAAGGCATCCTGTAGTCTATTAATAAAATCAGGATACGGCTCAGTAGCCTTCTGCCTGATATCAGAGAAAACTTGATGAGGCTTGCCAGAAACAGGTACTTTTCCAAAGGCTCGATAAGTGCATTCAGAAGAAACCTGTAAAGTGTCAGCCGGTAGAACAATTTGGGCATCAACTGGGGCAAAGGGACCAGAACCGTACAATTGATCAGGAATAAAGACACCCCCCCCCCCGAGTAAAGAGCACGCACAGCACATTGGTGTTTAAATTCGCTGTCCTAAACTACGTATTGTGCTGGAGTAAGCAACATGCGAAAGGTAGTTTTCCAATCTTCAGGTACTAAGATATGATTTCTCATAGTGGCTTCTAGCATTCCCTGCCCATAGATACTTCCCAACCCCATATCTCTAATTCCTTTTTTAAGTTCTGTTAAAATTGCATATGACAAAGGGCCATATTCCACTATTTGAGCTCCATTCTGATTTACTTGTCCCGTGGCATGTACTGGACAAACAGAAAGCATATCGGTAAATTCTTCTATATTTCACCCCCTTTTTTTCTAATTGTTCCTCTAATATTTGCCTTATGGGGGTGTACAATGGCCATACAGAAGCAAAAGAATTACCCTCTTCAAAAGGAGCTGAAGATCCAATTGGAGATGCTTTCAGGGTGACAAGTTTTACCTGGTCATAATCAGGCAGGGGGGCTTGTAGTCAATATTTATCCTGCCGAAGCATCGGAGCCAAATTTTTCCACTGCTTGACGGCATTGATATCATCGATGTAATATCTGTACTGGAGCCTGGGTTTCAAGATGTAAAGTATGCCCTATCTTTATCCAATCCCGTAACCGGAGCGTCCCGTGCTCCGGATACCAGGGGCAGTGTTTCCCTACCTCCTCAGCCAGTTTCCTTATATCTGCCTCAGGCACCATCACACCTGACTTGTGTAACAGGTGCATGTTTATGCTAGCATTGAGATAGATTGCAACCCATACTTACCACTGAGGGGTCCCAAAGGACGAAGGTGCACCTAGGGGTCTGTTCCAGACGGTGGTAAGTATGTTGGCTGTTGCTATCCAAGGGGGGGAGTCCCTGTTCAGGCGCCAGATGATGGAATCAGAGACCAGTCATTGCAAGGTGCAAAGATGTCTGACTGCCTTCGCAGTGTTTATTGCTTTTATATAGTTTTTCCAAGCAGCATAAGATAAAATAGCAACAGCATTTTTATTGGTGGATTCTTCTCGCCAATCCTTAAGAATATACCAGCCAGGGGGCACCAGCCAGGGGCAGTGTTCTGCAACATCCTGGTGGTGTGAACTTGGTGAGATCATGTAGGTGAGATCATGTAGGTATTTGGGCCACGGCAGTGTGCTGCACATGGCCTCTACATGACCTCTATCTCTACAGTGCAGTTTCAGGTGCTCTTTGACTACCAGCTGTCATCGGAATTGGAACTGGTAGTTTTGATAGGGAGTACAATTCCACAGTTATAGTTAATGTAGCATAGCCGTGAAAATAACTTAGATACTTACACCAACAAAAGACTCTGCTGAAGATGCTGCGGTTGCTAGAAGCATAATTTATAGATAAATAGGAAATTCCTTGTGGTTTCTTAGCCTCTGGATTGCCCTTGCTAAGGAGTTGTGCTTGGTTCTCATTCTCCAAAAACACATTTTTTTTCTCTAAGCTTTTAACTCTTAATTTTTTGTATTTTAATTGTTTTCATTTTATTATGTTTTTTTTTACTATGACAGAGACTAAAATCTTACAAATTTTATACAGGTACCTTATTTTCCATTTTAATCTATTACTAAACTAAAATTTTGAGACATGATTTCTTATACATCGTAAATTTATTTGTGGGCCTGACAGAAGACTGAGAATTTTCTGAAATCCAAGAAACATTTATCTTACATAGAAGCTAAAAATTACTTTTCTGAGTGAGGAGCTTCATATAGGATAGCTAATTTGTGTTGCTAAACCAATAATGCCCTAATCAACTTTTTTTCTCCCCTAGTAAGCAAAAAAATAGGTGGTTCTTTTTGACAGTTGAATAGGGAATGAAAACTGAAATCCTGTTACTGCCTTCACTAAACAGTCTGCTGTTACTTTTTGTTACCCTAGGCATGCTTATTTACCTTGTCCCTTTCCTTGGAAGCTGGTACTGTAACTCCTTTCAGGATTCAGTTATTATTAGCACACTGCTTAGTACAAGAAATTCTTGCAACAGGCTATATCTTAGCAAAATTTTATCGTCCTTAGTAGTATAATAATTTCTCCTGCTCCATCCTCACCCTGTCTTTCTTCACTAGGAATTTCTGGTGAAGAAAAATATAGCTAATCGTCAATTTACGATGGATTGCTTAGTGACATCTTGAAGTTACACTGGATTCCCCCCTGCCTCCCCAATGTACTTATAACCTAATTCTGAAGTTCTGATGGTCACATGACATTTTGGGTGTTCAATAACCAGTCTTCATTTATGGCTGTTTGAGAGTCCTTTAGTCACAAGATGCAATTTACTATATTTTTGCTGAAAACCAGCATTTATTTCCAATTTCTGTCAAAAACACTCCATAGTAAGCAATAGGTTTGCTTTATGACTGCAGCATTTGTTTAACAAATGCTATAAAAAGGTAATAAAAATGAGCCCAGTCATGTGGTGACCTGCTTTAAAACTGTTACAGGCAGGCTCCATCATAGTTGTAAATTGAGAATACTGGTAAATAATTCTGTATTAATTCGAAAGGTAGTGTATGGGCTTTTTGAGAGAAGGAGAAATTGGTGCAAATGCTACTAAATAATAATTTGAGCCTTTGAGAAAGTTGTTCTGTATAATTTAATATTGCGTGACTTAAGACAATGGTGGTGAACCTATGACATGGGTGCTAGAGGTGGCACTCGGAGCCCTCTCTGTGGGCACACATGCCGTTCCCCCAGCCTTTCTTTCCCCCGTAACCCCTTCCTCTCCAGCAGCCCCACTGAAGGAGAGTCACCCTCAAGCGTGGCCCACACGGAGCAGCGCAGCCAAGGACATGGCAGCCAGGCAGCATAGACAAGACTCTGCCCTCACATCCCATCATGCAGTTGATGCTGCAGGGGGAGGGCAGAGGGTGTGGCCGCCCTAGCACTGCTGGGCTGCCTGGGCGATCTGTAGCGGGCTCTGGAGGTGGTGAGTGGTCCTGTGGGCAGGCAGGGCAGGGGATGGGGGGGCAGAGCAGGGGCGGGGCAGGGGGTGGAGTGAGGGCGGGGCCAGTTTTGGGGCACTCGGTGTCTAAAAGTTCTCCATCACTGACTTAAGACTACAGCCTGTGACTTCAGAAATTCGAACTCCAAGTACTGCAGATATTTTAATTTGAGAATTACAAATAAAATCATATATTTTCTGCTAGTTCTGATTCTAGAGATTTCAGGCATGCATATACCTAATGATTCTATTATACATATGTGCATTATTTTAGTTGACGAAGTTAAAATAATACACTAGCCATTGATAGAGCTGATGATCTTTATGTTAAGTGGCATCTTGACAAGTTCTAACTTCGGCTCTGTGTTAATTTGAGAGTATGTAACTATTTCATTGTCAGATTGGCAAATTGATTATGATGTTGGAATACTTTTGTTTAAATAATATTTGTCTCTTACGTTGGCTTGGTTTATGTCCTAATATGAATATTTTAAAATACTCTGATTTCTGACTATGGCATCTTAAAAGGACACAAATATATATTTGAATTTTTGTAAGATGCCTGACTAGTGTGAAATATTAACTGCTGCTTTTCTGAGATAATGATGTTGCCTGTTGATATTTGGGTGGAGAGATTGCTGTATTTCACTGTATTGATAGGATATATGTGTAGGATTAAAAGAATACGTTTTCTAAATAAAGAAAATTCCCATTTGTCTTCTCCTGTAAATTAAGATATTTTATGGCATATTTAATAATTATATCAATAATTGACTCAAAATTCTTAAAATCTTAACCTATTCTTCATTGTTGTGAATGTATTTTGAAATGTTTTACTTCTTTAGATGTTGGTTCACTGCTTTTGCCTTCTCTCTATTCAGTCTGATTCTTTCTATTTTGGAGCTAAATGTCTCCCCAGGAAGGCTATATTATTTGAGCATCATTTAGTTATTTTCAGTCCAGAATAGTCAAAAGCAGTGCTGCTAAACTTTATGGTTGCTATTTTCATAGGGAACTTCCAGAATATTGCCTCAGTATCATTTTAGCACCCACTTGTGTGTACTTTATCTTACTCTAATGTAGAGTGACTTGGTAGCAATTAATAAAACTCTGGCAATTCTGTTTTTAAAAAATCATAACTATTTTTCTTTTTTGTTAATTTGTTAAGTGTTCTTCCTCCTCTACCCTCAGCTTTTTTAGAGCTTGATTTTCAAAAGCTTTGTCCTATTTTTCCCTGTATACATTTTCTACTAATTATATGCAAAAAATTTTGCCATTTTTTTACTGGTTGTGTTGCATGTTGCAGTTAGCTAGTTTGCAATTTTCCTACTTTTTTCTATTTTTAAAATCTCTAACACCTTTCTCTTTTATTAAAGGTTTGATATTACAGGTGACATCACTGTCTCTGGTGTGGGTAGCTCCCTGATCCATTTCCATTTCTGTCTGCTAATATTCTATGGACCCAGCTGACCAGGTGCAGTAGGTATCAAGGCTTGATTTTTTTTCTCATTTCATCAAAAAATACAGATCTTACACTGCAATGACTCAAGTTACAATTGTCACCTAAAATATGGTAGCATTTTTTTCTCTAGTCTTACACAATAAAATGTAAAAACTTTCATGTCTGAGGACATGTGCAAAATTATAGTTATGTAGAACAAGATACATCTAAAATCTTACTGCATGGTACATGTTGAAAAGAAATGTTTTGTAAATGAGATTTGCATTGGAGGAGTTTGCCTTGTTTTGATTTTCTCAATCAAAGAAAATCTAGGCAACATATTGCAGCTTGAACTTTGGCAAACCTCCATAGGAGAAAAACATAATGCTGCCAATTGTTAAATTTTCCCTCCATTCCCTTGCTATTGAAATTTGAAATGTAGCTAAATTTATGGATAGACAGCAAGGTCATGTAAGAAAGAAAGATGTGATTGTGTTCTGACATGATTTCATATTATACAATGGCCTTGTTCTGTGTAACTGGTTGCTACATAAGCATTTATTGTATATGTATGTAAAAAATCAGAAGAAATATGAAAGTGTATTTTCAGATTAACAAATGTTGTTAAAAGGTGTAAACTGTAGCTTATTTCTTCAGATGCATGTTTCAATGTGTATGTGTGCTTGCATGCATATTTATGGATTACAAGTTCAGATTGCACATAAGTAAGACCCATAGAACTCTGAGTAGAGATGTATAGAATTGCATTGATAATTCCATGAAGGCACATTTTTCTTGTCAATTTTCCTGAACTAAGTGATATTTCCAACATGGTTAAAAATATGAAAATGCGTTTCTTTATAGATGACTAGAAAATGTTGTATTAGTAACTTGTTTCAGTATTGAAGTTGTTTCAGTATTGAAGTTGGTGCTGGGAATTTGTAAAGTAGAGGGGTATATTCCTTATCCTCATTATTGAGGCACCAAAACCACCTGTTGTATGTGATTTTATAGACCAGTGATGGTGAACCTTTTAGAGAACGAGTGGCCAAAAACTGGCCCCACCCCTGTTCCACCCCCTGCCCCGCCCCCACTCTGCCCCCCATCTCCCGCCCCGCCTGCCCACAGGACTATTGACTGCCTCCAGGGCGTGCCGCAGATTGCCCAGGCAGCCCAGCAGCCCTATGGTGGCCAAACCCTCTGCCTGTGCCCTGCAGCATCAACTGCATGATGGAGTGTGAGGGCAGAGTCTTGTCTATGCTGCCTGGCTACCATGTCCTTGGCTGCTCTGCTCCATGTGGGCCATGCTCGAGGGCGACTCTCCTTCAAGGGGGGGTGCTGGAAAGGAGAGGGTTGCGGGGGAGGCAAGGCTGTGGCAACGGCACATGTGCCTACAGAGAGGGCTCCGAGTGCCGCCTCTGGCACCCGTGCCATAGGTTCGTCACCACTGTTATAGACCTTGCAAGTGTTTTTTAGATAAAGGTAAATATTTTCATATTGGATTCTGATAATCTAATATTTGATACAAATGTGGAGAACTGCATAGCTGTTCTTATCTTACATCTAGCCCTCTGAATAATGAATATAGTGGATATGCTGCAATAGAAAACATGTTTCTACATGCAGAAGAAGTATATATAATATACAAGTCAGGATGGTACTATTATAATTTATAGTATATTATTCAGTTTGAATCTGTAATCCAAAAACTGTGTTATGTTTTTGGATATATTAAAAATATGCTGAACACACATATGCTGAATCCCGTATCAAAGCAGGACAGTCTTCCAGTCCTTGCAAATACATTTTTACACATTAGTATTTTCTTAAGACAAACTCATGAGAAAATATCTATTGTTCAGTGAATACAATTCATGTAATACTCCAGGAATAAAATGTTTTAATGTTTAGATAGCTTTTTGAAGGCTTAAATTCTTACATGAAATTTCAAGGCTTTCTATTTTTTTTAAAAAGCACAACATTGAAAAATAATGGTAATATAGTTGAATAATAGAAATAAGGAGTATGAATAAGGCAGGAAGATGTTATTTTATAAAAAGAATCAGGTCAAAATGAAAAAAAAGCATGCCAAAAGAATATAAACTGAACAGCTAAAGTAAGAGACAAAATAAGAATAGGACAGATTTAAGAGTGCTTTTGTGATGCAATTATGCATGCTTGTTTAATTAAAATGAAAAGCAAGGACTAAACCTTAGCAGGATTTTTTGTTTTCTCCTAAGATCGTTAAAAATACAAAGATTTTGTTTTTTCCTAGGTGTATTGTTATGGGGAAAGACGATATATTATTAATAATAGTAATAATAATAATAAATATAAGGTGCATAGTTTATAATAGCAACAAAATAGAATGTAAGTAGTGTTTTCATTTTTGTCATATTTTCTGCTGTACAGAATAAGATCTATAATTTATATGTTTTAATAACAAAATTACAATAGGACACTGAAAAATGAGCTTAAATATGTATCAACAAGGTATCAAAATGTACAATTTCATACACAATCAAAATCATTAATGTCAATTTAGCATAACAGTCTTAAAATTGAGCTTTTGATCTAAATTATAATAAATGAAGCCATATATATTTATTTTTATTTTTTTCCCAACAAACTTTATTCAGTTTACATTTTAAATATTTTATTTACAATACAGTGAAGAATGCAAAATGCATCTAGCCTTGTTTAATTAGCTGATCTAGAAAACTGGAAGTGCATATTAGACATTCATTTTGCCTTGTGAAAATACGTTTAAACTCTCATCTACATTTTTATAATATTGATATCTTTTATTGGATAGCTTTTGCATTAGAGTGGTTTTCCAACATATCTGCCACCATGTGGAGATATTTTCCTGTGTTCCACACAGACTACCTACATGGCTGCAATTAATAAAATTTTCTAAAAACTATACTCTAGATTATTCTGGTTCATCAAAAAACTTAATGAAGTTAGCGTTGGATTTAATAGTCTTACTTTAATGAAAATTTTAGTCCCAAGAAGTTGAATCTTTACAAGATCACCATATAGATGCCTTTTACTTTACATTTCCTCCATTACATGGAATTTACACTAGAATTTATCATAACTTTTCCTTGGGTTTTAATAACATCTATGAAATATTTTCCACGAGTTTTCCTTGATTTTTGCTAAAACCAATTTTCTTCCTTTTTTGTGGCAGTTGGAAGTCATTGTAGAGATGTTTTATATTTAATTCCTATATTGTTTTCAACCCATTCTAAAGCTTGATCTTCATAATGTTGTAATTTTATTAATGTTTTCCCTTTGTCTTCTTAGATGATGAATTTAGCCAAATTTCAGATTTAGTCATAGCTTTAGTCAATTGTGTTCTAACAGCTTGGAGTTGCAGCTAAGTACAAATTTGATGTATTTGAAACTATGAATGAGACAAATTCCCTGTATTTATTTCTAATTGTTTTCTAAATAGGTCTATCATGTATTTTTTAAAATCGGCCTATTATTTGATACTGTTTAATTTTACTCATCATAAAAGTTATGCTGAAATATGAAGATTGAAATGATGATTGTGGATTTAATTTAGGGAACCATCTTTTTCAATTTTTTACATGTTTAGAACTTTTTATTCTCCAGCATGATTAAGAAGAATCCACCAATGGGTTATCTTAGTCCTACTGCCCAATCAGACCATGTTGTCAAGTTGTCACGCCTCCTCATTATCTGGGAACCTCCCAGTTTTCTTCTTGGTCTTCGCCCATTACAGACGTGATTTCTTGACTCTCTCTACGTTGGAGCAGGTCTGATAGAAAATTTACTCATTGGTGGATTCTTTAAAAGAGTTTAGCAGCTTAGTTGAGAGTTTTGTTTTCCCCTCTGTAAGGATTTGCTGCATTCCCCTCCTCAGGGTTAGGTTAAAACTTTCTAAGGAAAGGGGGGGTGGGTTTTTCACTTCCCCAGATTCAGTATCCTGCTGAATCAGCAAACAAACCTCACCCTACACAGTGGGGGGGGGAGGTTTAACCTATTGCATTTCAAAGGTGTTGTTAAAAACAAAACAAAAAAACCCCCTCAGTTTCACGTGCGTGCGGTTCCTTTCCTTGCTGCTTTCAGTTTTGCAGCCTCTGCTGCTTTCAGTTTTACAGCCTCGTGGCTTCTCCCTAGCCGGGCTCGGCTAGGGACTCTTAGCAGCAGCCATTTGAATTTCAAAAGGCCTAATCTCACTTCTAAACACCTTTTTTACTGCTGCAACAAAGGAAAGCCCAACGGTGGCCTTACAATCACCTAAAGCCACTGTGGAAGCATTAGAAGCCTCGTGGGGCAGCAGTAAAGCTTTTTGCACCTAACGGCTGTTAGGCACAAACCCCTGCTTCTCGGGCCAAAGCAGATTCCAATTGGCCTCGTTCGTGGCAGTCACTGGCCCTTTGCACTGCAGCATTAATCCCTCGCCATTTTGAATTAAAAATAATAAAATAAATAAATAAATAATAAGTAAATAAATCTAAATTGAATGCAATAACGGGGGTGAACTACAAATGTTAATTGTATTAAACTAGATTGATTAACAAAATTGCTGGCTCCTTCATTTGAGTCTCAGTTTCAGCCATTTCCTGATCCATGCACCTGTGAGCAAGAGTGTGGTACCAACAGCAGCTCTGGTTCTTCAGCCTGGTCGCCATATTGCCTGTCTGCCCTTCTGCATCTGGTGGCTGTTCCAGCATCCTAACCATCGCCACTACTGTGGGACACATGTGATTTTTCTCCACGTAGGTCAGTCCCCCGCGGGGGCCTCTGACGTCCCTTGCAGAACGAATCAGTCCAAAGGCAACCTTGGGTTGATTTCGATGGAAATGGCAGACCCTTCTGAGCCACGTTCCTTGGACATGGACGTCATTCCCGCCTCAACTGAGCCGACACCCGAGCCTCCATCAGGTAAGGCGAGGTCCAAGTCTAAACACGGCAGGAAAGCTGGCACGGCGAGCGACAAACTGGCTGAACGCACCCACAGAGCTCTGGAGAAGCAATACTCCCGGGCCCAACGCTTGTCTGCTGAAGGAGGTCTCACGTTGCCAACCTCCGTACCACCGGACAGGGGAGAGCCTCAACCATCCACATCCAGATTATGGTCGCCGGAGACGGGGTATCAACAGGTCCCAACTCGGACTCTTGGTCAGGTAGGCCCACCCGTGTTTGGGGAGAACTTTGCCTTGCCAGGTTCATCTGCAGCACCCACTGCTGCCAGCACGCCACCTGCTGCGGGGTTAAGGCTTCCGCTAGAGCAGTCCGTCTCCGACCAGCTCCAAATGTGGATATCACAGGCAGTGTGCCAAGCCATGGCATCAGCGAGTCATCAACAAGCCCCCTCCGTTCCAGGACCATCCTCCTCTTCGGCACCAACAACTGCCGTGAGGCCTCCACTGGATCAGTCAGGTATGGTCTCTCCCTCCCAATCCCCTGATTCGGACCCGGATGTTTCAGATTATGGGGGAGGCAAGGATGGTTGGTCGGATTGCGAGGAACCATTTTACGAATCCCAACCCATGGTGGAGCTTTTTAATGCTTCGCTATTTCCGGCTTTGTTACGCAGAGCGTGCGAGGCAAGTAAGCTTTCCCCTCAGTCAGTACCAACCCCTCAGCCTTCCTCCGATCAGTAAACCAATCCTTTGTTTACTGTGCCTGTAGACACGCACCTCCATATCCCTTGTCCACAGCTGTTCTTCCAAAATGTGCAGGATCAGTGGGAATCACCAGCAGCCCAGCCATCTCAAAACGCGTCTGAGCGCAAAATGGTAGACATGCCTAAGGCATTCGGAGACCTACTAGAGGTCCCAAAAGTGGATGAATCGCTGGCACCGCTTTTCTCCACTGCCAGCCTTCCAGCTGATGTATCCGATGCCCTTAAGGCAGAGGATAAAAAATCTGAAATGGCCTTACGCAAAGCGCACTTGGCATCTGCCTGGGTTGTGAAGGCAGCGACGGCCACTTCCTTCTTTGCAAGAATCTCTATCACCTGGCTGCGTCAGCTGCAGGATAGAATCCCACTTGAGGAAACTAGAATGCATCAGGATCTAACAAAAATACTTGCCACATCCGAATATATGGCCGATGCCTCTCTGTATTCAGCCAAACATTCAGCCCGGGCTATGGCTTCCAACGTGGTAGCTAGGAGACTCCTGTGGCTAAAAAATTGGAGGGCCGAAAGTAAGCATAAGTGGCGCGCGGCCACAGCCCCTTTCAAAGGTGGCAAATTATTTGGGGATGCACTAACACCGTACTTAGTTGAAAATAAACAGAAGCAAAAGGTGATCTCCCACGTGGCAAAGAGGTCCACAAGACGGTTCACCCCTTACAGTCGCCAGCAGCTCTTTCGGGCAGGGACAGCAACAGAGTCGGCACAACCGTACCGACCGGTCGCTCCCAAACAGGAGCGTTCACTGGACAGGACAGGTTATAGAGACAGGTCCAGATACCAGCCACAACCCAAAAATTCCTTTCGTGGCCGAGGGGGTTGGTCCTTCCGCCGAGGCAAATGACTCGGAGGGAAATCCCCCCATTGGCGGCAGCTCACTCACTCGCCAGTGGGAAAACACGACCACAGACTCCTGGGTGTTGCGTACCATAAGAGAAGGCCTGTCCCTGGAGTTCAAATCCGTTCCTTTCAATCACTTTGTGTCTTGCCCAGCCATGAGAAACCCAGTAAAGAGGGGATTCATGGAGGACGCTATACAGCATCTTCTAGCCATCAAGGCAATAGAGGAGGTTCCCCCAAGCCAGGCAGGGCAGGGATATTACTCAATCCTGTTTGTAGTCCCAAAGTCTTCGGGGGGATGGAGGGCAATCCTCGATCTCAAGGGATTGAATCTTCACCTTCATTACAAACGGTTCAAAATGCAAACATTGCACTCCATCCTAACCAGTATCAGGCGGGGAGATTTATTAACATCCATAGATCTGAAGGAGGCATATCTCCACATCCCTATTCTCCCAGCTCATCGCAGGTACTTAAGATTCTGCTATCTCAACCGCCATTTTCAGTACAGAGCCCTTCCTTTCGGCCTCTATTCAGCCCCCAGGGTTTCACCAAAATCCTGGCAGTGTTGGCGGCTCACTTGCGGCTGGTCCCAGTCAGGGTCCAGTGCTACCTGGACGATATCCTGATCCAGTCCCCGTCAGTCTCAGCCGCTCATTCGGATTTGACCCTCACTATACAGACTCTTCAGGCCCACGGCTTCCTGATCAACTTCAAAAAGAGCCAGATGAATCCATCTACCAGTCTGCTTCACCTGGGAGCAGTAATAGACACGGAATCATGTCATGTGTACCTGTCAGAGGAGAGACGCAGGAGCATCAGGGACTTGGCTCGCAAGGTACGCGGGGACAGAACCGTGGCATTAGCCACGCTTTCTCAGCTCCTGGGCAAACAGATCTCATGTATAGCAATCGTGCCGTGGGCTCGGCTACATACCCGGGAGCTTCAGTGGTTTCTTCTCCCATACCAAAGACAGCATACCAGTACGTCCAACAGACGGGTTCGGGTTCCCCGTCAAGTATGGTTTTCCCTTGGCTGGTGGACTTCATCAGCCGTCAGCAAAGGGACCCTGTTCAAAGAACCCAACCGCCTTCAGGTGACCACGGACACCAGTCTCTTCGGCTGGGGGGCTCACCTCCAATCCCGGATAGCTCAGGGTCGGTGGTCGCAAGCAGATCTCAAACACAACATAAATTGGTTGGAGCTCAGAGCGATTTATCTAGCTCTTCAAAAATTCCACACAGAAGTCAGGGGCCAGCATGTACTGATTCAAACAGACAACGTGGCTGCAAAGGCCCACGTGAACCGGCAGGGGGGCACACGGTCGAAATCCCTCATGACAGAAGCCCGAGCATTGGGCACCTGGGCAGAGAAACACCTGCTCTCCATCAGAGCCGAACACATTTCAGGGGAGGCAAATCGACAGGCAGATTTCCTCAGCAGGTCGACAATAGATCATTTGGAGTGGATGCTTCATCCAGATATCTTCAGGGAGATATCAGCCAAATTCGGCAGTCCGATCATGGACCTGTTTGCCTCCCCGGAGAACGCTCAGCTTCCCAGATTCCTTTCCCGGTTCCCTTCTCGGGGAGCAGAGGGAACGGATGCACTTCGCAGCAGGTGGCCACAAGGCCTATTGTATGCCTTCCCCCCATTGCCTCTACTTCCTGCAGCAATCAGGAAGCTCCTGGAGGAACAAGTGGAGGTGATCTTCATCGCCCCTTACTGGCCCAGGAGACCATGGTTCGCAGATCTGGTGAGTCTTTCATTTTCAGCTCCATGGAGGATTCCCGACAGCCAAATAAGGCTGATACAGGGAAATCTACAACATCCAGATCCACAATGGCTTCAACTGACCGCCTGGCACTTGAACGCCGCGCCCTAACCAGGGAATCTTACTCAGCGGAGGTGATTGCTATGATACAGGCGGCCAGGAGACCGGCAACGAACCGGCTTTATGACCATACGTGGAAGCATTTCGGTCAATGGTGTGATAAGAAACACGTAAGTCTGTCACAGGTGATGATTCCCAGGGTCCTGGAATATTTAATGGAGGGCGTCAACAAGGGGTTGGCACCCAACACTTTGCGCAGACAGTTAGCAGCCCTGTCCTCAATTTTGTCATGGGACTCCTCAAGCTCCTTATCAAGACATCCAGCCATTCGGGCTTTTCTTAAAGGGGTCTCGAATACCAGACCGCCTGTTATTCACAGGTATCCCTCCTGGAACCTACCCCGAGTGCTTCAAGCTCTAATATCTTCTCCTTTTGAACCACTCAAAATGTGCTCATTACGACATTTGTCATTCAAGGTCTCCTTTCTCATTGCCATTACCTCGGCCAGGCGCATTTCAGAGTTAGCGGCCTTGTTGGTTAGAAAAGACCTATGCACATTCCACGAGGATAGGGTAGTTCTCAGGCTTGACCCTTCATTTATTCCAAAGGTTAACACGGTTTTCCATAGGGCACAGGAGGTTATCCTCCCAAATTTTTGCCCTCACCCGTCACATGAATTGGAACAACGCTGGCACACTTTGGACATAAGGAGGGCCTTGCGATGTTATATCAAGCACACTAAGCCCTTCCGTAAGTCAGAAACCCTATTTGTGTCCTTTCAGCCTTCATCTATGGGGCAAAAGGTTTCAGTTTCCACCATAGGGAGGTGGATAAGGGCCTGTATTTCAAGCGCTTATGTTTCCCTGACCTTACCAGTTCCTCCTCATGTGACGGCTCACTCTACCCGCAGTGCTGCTACAACTGCGGCGTGGGCAACACAGGCATCCATTGAGGACATATGCAGGGCGGCGACATGGTCGTCGCCATCTCCATTCATTAGACATTACCGTTTAGACAAGTTTGCTTCGGCTGAGGCCGCCTTTGGTAGACGTATCCTACAACAAGTAGTCACACCATCTGGGGGCCCGGCCCCTACTGACTCCCACCCTTAGGGACTCGAGAAGCTTTGGTACGTCCCATGGTGAATTCTTCTTAATCATGCTGGAGAAGGAGCGTTGGCTTACCTGAACGCCTTTTCTCAGCATGATGAAGAAGAATCCACGCCCTCCCTAAGTAGAAGTCAGTCAGGTCCAGGTGGGATGGTTGTTCTGTTAGTTGTCGTTACTACCTGCTTGAGAGTCATCACGTCGTACTGTTGTCAATGGCTTCGCCCGTCGATGAAAACTGGGAGGTCCCCAGATAATGAGGAGGCGTGACAACTTGACAACTTGGTCTGATTGAGCAGTAGGACTAAGATAACCCATTGTGGATTCTTCTTCATCATGCTGAGAAAAGGCGTTCAGGTAAGCCAACGCTCCATATCTTTCATTTTTAATGACCATTCCTGGCAAAAGGAAATGCCTTAATTTTTTGCTAGTGCTACATGTATGCAGTCGATCTTTAACCAAGATAAATTCTTCTAAATTTATCAAGCCACACAATGTTATTGATAGAGTTCTTAATGCTCTTAGCTTGGTTGCAGATGTTTCATTACCCAACTAGGTAACATTATCAGTATCCTTGGATAATGAAATACTTGCAAACAAACAACCAGCTCAGAGAGCACCAAAAACTCTACAGTTTATTACTGAGCTACAAATATTCTCTTCTGTGAGAATGTGATAACCATGTGTCTTACTGCTGCTTTTGTACCAAGCTATGACAATTTTGACCACTCTGTCATTTTCCTAACTGAATAATTAATTAATGGATTGCACCAATAAATTCTATAGGAGAATGTCAGGGTAATTGTCTGAGAGGTAAACTTGAAACAAATATGACTTCTTCAGCAGGATAATAATCCTAAACACGCAAATTCATCAAATTGAATGGATGTAACAGAAGAAACTGCATTTACAAAAGCCAAAGCAAAACTCTCACCTTAAGCTAACTGATATCTTTGGCATGGTTTGAATGAAGCATTTTATGTAGAGGAATTCCAAAATACCTGCAGGCATTGTTTAATAGACACAAGTACCACTGGCTATTAAAACTAAGCTTTACATGCTCACAAAAGGCCACAATATAATAATTCAGTGTGTTCAGTGAAGAATTGGATTTTTTGTTGTTGTATATCTGTTTATTTTCATCAAATCACCAGAAACTCTTTATTAATAGGATTTAGATAGGATTCAGTCTATATTTTAGGTCATAGGTTCCCAATCTTTTGGACACCAGGGACCAGTTACCTGGAGAGACGTTTTTCTACGGACTAGAGGGGGTGTGGTTTTGTGTTCTGCCTGCATCCTGCGGATGGGGCTTTGCTTGTTGTCTAGAGCGGTTGATGGTATGCCGCGGACTGTTACCAGTCCATGGACCGGGGGTTGGGGACCCCTGCTGTAGATAACAGTATTGCAGGATTACAAATAGTTAAAGGTTTCACAAAGTTATTTTCACCACTATAGGGACAGTGGGAGAATTAGAATTTTCCAATAAGCAATTGTATGTCAATCAGAATGAAAAATAGAATTTGGCAGTTAATAGATAAGTGGCTTTAGCTGTCCATGATCTTGTTATCCATTTTTTCACATTTTCACACTTGGAAAACACTGATCAAACTTCGTTTATTTTAAGCGGTTTTACTCACAGTTTTGGAGTGGATTTTGTAAATGTTATGGATGTGCATCCATAGTAGATGAGCTTTTATGCAAGTATACAGTATATTGCTTTTATATTATTATGATATTATTATCTGGGCAGTTCCTATCTGTAATTCAGCTAATTCAGATATGCCACAAATAACAGTATTGGATATGTTTAGCTTTCAGGAAAATATATACATGAGGCAGGTTTATCATTAAGATAAGTTAGGAATTTCAAAAGTCCAGTGGTGCAAGGTATCTTGTACATCATTTGCATCTGTTTCTCATTCTTGTTCATTGGGCTTCTTCTTTTGTTAGATTGTCTTACTTATGAAATGGTGTTTCCACTATTGTTTCTATTGTGGAGTCTCCTTCTTTTGAATAGATAAAGCTTCATTTTCTCTTATAAATTGAAATGTGACCACTTACTCCAGTCTTCTGATTACTTTTTCAAGTGATAGGTAGTCCTCAAGTTACGAATGCAATGGAGCCTGTCCATTCCATTCGTAACTCGAAAAATTGTGGGAGTGAATCTCATGCCTCGAATGAGATCGCTCCCTGCTGGTTAAGATGCATGCAGCTTGTTAACGTGCACATAAGGTATCTTATGGGTCGGACACGACTTCATAACTAACAACAACAACAAGGTATGTCGCTGGGGAAGGCCATGGAGGGCCTAGTGATGGCACAGGCCCCCAAGGCCTCCCCAACCCACTAAGATATCTCATGCTTTCCCCTCCCTTCTTACCCTGCTAGACTCAGTTACCTTGCAAAATATGTCTCCTCTCTGTCATGGTTTCTTTCCCTTTGAGGAAGAGGAGAGTTGGCTTAAAAATGCTTTTCGTGCCAACAGTAGAAGGTCTTGGGTGCTGTAATATTGTGTGAGTTCAAAAGAGATCATGGTCCCCAGAAGCTTCCATTCTGAGGGGGGGGGGAGAGTGTTTGCTTCGTTTGCTTCCCCATGGGCAAAGCATGGAATTGGAATCAACTGGGTGCAGGAATGAATGCTGTCCATGACCCGGTTGTGCTGCTTGCTTGTTCGCGTGCGCCAGCCTTAGTTTGAGGGTAGGAACAAAGCCTTCAACTGAGCGGGGAGACATCGTGGGGTGTCCAAGTTGCTTGAGGCAGTGGCAGCTACCTGAGTGGCCATGATCTCCCCTCCCCGGCCAGCCACCCAGCCCATCCGACCTACTCCTTGTCTGAGCAGCTGGTACCCAAATCCTGACTGCTCTTATCCTTGTCGTCCTCCCAACTCAAGCAGCGGACAGTGGAGAAACTCAAGCTGCTGCCGCTAAAAACACTTTTTATCTGAACGGAGACCTAGTCTGTGTGCTAATGCAATGCTTGAAAACACAGTGATTTGCTCTGTTTTTCAAGCGTTGTATTCGCACACAGATGTAGCTCCCCATCTCCTCAACTCTCTGTTTGGATAAAAGATGTTTGAGCGCCTATGGGAGCCATTGAAACACAGCGATTCACTGCATTTCTAAGTCCTTACGCATTCAAACACTTTTTATCCAAATGGAAAGCTTGGGGAGATGGGAAGCTCCTTCTTTGTGTGAATGCAATGCTTGAAAATGCAGCAAATCTCTGCATTTCTAAGGATCCCATTGGTGCTCAAAACAGAGACCTTGGGGAGATGGGGAATTTCAACTGTGAGGAAATGGGGCAGTTAAAAATGCAGCATTTTCAAGTGTTGCATTTGCACATAGACAGAGCTCCCCATCTCTCCAAGGTTTCCCTTCAGGTAAAAAGTGTTCAGGTGGTGGCAGAAAGGAATTGGGGGCGGGAGCAGGAGACAGGCATAGAGTTTGCGCCGAAAATGAAAGTTTCTGGGGTCTGTGATCTCATGATAGTTCTCTGCAAAAGAGGATGAGTGCCTGAACTTATGCGATATTACGGCATCCAGGAGCTTCCATTGACTCTCCTCTCCCTCAAAGGCAGAAATCGTGGCAGAGCGGAGACAGATCTTCTCAAGGTGGGTCTGCATGGCAGTAAGGGAGGGAGAAGCAGTTGTGAAGAGCAGGGGGGGGGGGTAGAGTGAATGTTGTAGAGCCTCTGCAGTCATTTGTAAGGGTGAACAACTGCGTGGTGCTGCAAGATTCGTAATTTTGGGATTTTCTTGTAAACACTGGGGGGGGGTATTTATCGTGGATTATCTGTACTACAAATTTATGCATGACTGTTGTAAGATAGGAACACAAACTTCCTACAAGCTTTGTAACTCATACTACTGTTTATTCATTAGTTTTGTAATGGCACATCACTTTAAAGGGTTATATTTCCTATTGTTTTTTTCCCCTCAGGCTGAAATTAATCATATATAAATGTATGGCTTAAATAATTTATTAAGAAAAAATACAGTTCTTGGTTTGTTCATGTCATTACTTGTTAGATTGCTCACCAGATTAGTTCATAAGGCTATCTACAGATTCTGTCTTCTAATGACCACTCCAATTATTCTTCTTTGCAGGTACAATTCCCACAATCCTAAAGGAGGACGAAGGAAAGTCCTTACTTAGGAAAATTGTTGCTAGACTCTCAACTGATATTAATAACTATTGGCTAGTGTCCAATAGTTGATACTTAGTCAAGGTAAAAAAGTAGATCTCCAGCTGCAACCCTCAGACGAACAGATTACCTTGATCTTTTCCAGTTTGTTTATATTTGAATATGGCATGCAGATGTGCCCTTGAACATGTTGTTCAAAAACAGAACCAGAAACGAAAGGATTCTGGAAATTTAAGCAGCTTTTGACCAGACAATGTTATCTTGTAGGAATACATGGGAGCTCTTCAATTATTCTGTATCTGTCTCTCTGGATGTAAACAGAAAATGAAAAACTTTGTGAAGCAATCTGGAAGGTTCTATATTAGATGTTATTTAACATCTAATAAAGTAACCAGGAAAGATCATTTGCAGGTTTGGAGATAGTTGTCATCAGTATGGCAAAAGCACTCAGGTTTACTTCTCCTTTTTCAGAGAGGGAAATCTCCAGATTCCTAGTATCTCCAAACTACAAAGAACTCCTAAATAAACAGACAGGAAAGCTAACAAGAGTTTGACAATAGAGTTTAGTAAGCAGTCCATACCAAATTAACAATTCTGTCTACAGAAATAAGCAGTAAACTGAAAGAGATTTTCTTGCCGTTGAAATAGCTGTATAAAATTTGAGTATATTGCTATCCACATCCTGTAAAAGGATAAGAATGTTACAGTTGCTGAATTAGGCCAGAGTTTCTATCCAGAGCACATCAAGGCCTCAAAGTTCACAACTATCGGGTCTTGATGGAAGTAATTGGATCTTGTTTATTTTCAGTATCTTTTGCCTTTGAACTTTCAAGTTCCTTTAGTTATTGTGCCTAATAATTGTTGATTGACTTGTTTGTCAATGAAAAGAGATCAAGTGACAAGCTTCCATTTCTTTTGCTTGACTGTGGTTAATCTGGCTGGGAAGAAAATACAATTCCTTCTTTGGATGGTCAGTCTTTATCCCCATTCTGCTTTCAGAAAGAATGTGCAGCAGACTGCTGTCAACCCTGCAAATATTTGTTAAACAGACTCATTGCAATAGTTTATCCATTTGTGAGCCAGTCTTTGGGACAAGTTATTAAGCAGCAGATTCTAAAACTATTATAGCTTCTTCAGCTATGTTCAGATTCCTAGCATTTCCTGAATTTCACCTTTTGGCTGTAAAAAGGAGGAAATTCTAAAAAAAAAAAAAAAAGTGGAGTGATGAAATTGAAATTCCAAATGTCTATAATAAGAAGTTATGTCTTTCCTCTTCACTCAGCTAGATCTCCATAAAGCAGGTCAGTGCTGTCATTCACGATTAATCCTAGATAAGCATATTTTATGAGCAGCTGAACTTGAAATTACAAGGCACTGCCTTTAGGTTGACGTCCTGTTTGACTTCCCAGGTAAGGAGGCCACCTGAAAGGAAAGGAAGTCAGCCTATGCCCTGCCCACTTTTTCATTCAGTGCCTGAATTGCCAGCCTCCCATCAAATCTCTTCCGGTCCCCTCTCCTTGACATATGTTCCCCATCTCACTCCTCTATCAAATAGTCCCAAGCAATTAATGAAATAAAAAATGAAGTAGTTCTCTATCATCACTATTTTCCTCTATTGCTTATATCCAAGAAGTCTTACTGAAGAGGATCTGAGGTTCCTTTTGTAATTAGGAAGCAGATGTGTAGAAGCTTGTACTAGTCCTATAATGAGAACTGGCAGAGCAATTGTTAGCTTCACAATCTGTCTAAAAATGGTAATTCAGATGCTATTTCCCAAATGCTTGAGAACTGGAAGATAGTCAGTGTGACACTAGTTTTTAAAAAGGGACCTGGAGAGATCGAGGGAATTACAGGCTGGTTAGGTTAGTGTGTCTTCTGTATAAATTGCTGGAATAAGTGTTTCTGAAGAAAGATCATGGATTCTACAAAAATAACCAAACTTTTGAGATTTGTAATGTGTTTATGTACACATGGACGAAGATAATCCCATCAGAACAGTATACTTGAATTTCCAAAAAGCCTTCAATAAAGTTCCTTGTTGAAATCTGATGGCTTTCAGGAACAATGTCTATGCTTCCAGGACAATCACTTTCCTTCTACCATGTTTATCTTCTCAACAATGGGAGGAAGAGCTATGTTGACCTCCAACTATTTCTGTGTTTCACCCATCTTCAAATTTGCCCCTTACAAGTTTGATATATGTACATCTTCCCTTTAAATTCAGTTATCATTTAGCTTTATAGCTTTCTCCAACTTTGTGTCAATAATTAACATAGATAATCTTATCAAGACTTGGCTGAACCTTTGTGTTTCCTTCTCTGACATCTGGTATTACTGATACTTCTGCATCCATGAAGGGAACATTTCTTCCAAGCAGATTATTCTGTACTGGGCACATTGCAACATATCAATGGGCTGGATCTATTAGGATCTATTAAGCTGGATCTTTGAGGGCACTCAAAGCTTTTGAAAGCTTCCCCTGAGATCAAACTAACCAAATTGTGTTAGGCAATGCTATGTAAAATCTGCTTCATTTTTGCATCTCATGTTTTAGATGTGGCCCTGATGTATTCTACATTTCATTTTTATTTTGGAATACTATAGATAATAGATCAGCAGTGTTCTGACTGACTAGCTCAACTGTACCCAGTCAGTCACTCATGAATGGAGATTTCAGCTCATAGTTATTTTCTGTATCAGGTCCCTTTGTGAGCCGTACCACATACTCATTAAGGTATTGGACTGGGGTTGCAGAGACCTAGTTTCTAGTCTATCCCCTCTCTCTATTTCTCTCAATCAAACCTATCTCAAAGGTTGTTGCGGAAAAAAATGGAAGGAGCATTATATATGCATCCTTGAGCTCTTGTGGTAGACTCTCCAACTAGCCTGGAGAGAGAGATGAAGAGGAGCTGAAATTAATGTCAGGAAAAGCAACCAGAATCACTTGTGAAGAGTCTCAACAATATTTTATTGCTAGTTAACATTCCACAACAGCTCCTATACAAAAGACTAGATATAACCAGGGCTTTTTTTCTCACAGAATGCCCAAAATGGAGTTCCGGCACTTTTTTGGGTTGGAAACTTGTAGGGTAGGCAAGGCGGGTTGTATGACGTGTGTGAGTTCCGGCACTTTTTTTTTTTTTTTAAGAAAAAAAAGCACTGGATAAAACTCACAAAAATAAATAAATACTGAGGTTGATTTTGTCTCAAAACCTTGTCAGCCAAACTAAAGGAGTTCTTCCTGGCTTGTTACAAGACCTCTGTAAGACCTTTTTTCGCAACTAGATATAAACCTTGGTCAAATTGCACAAAAATAAAGTTTTCCTTCAAGGTATTATCTACTTGAACTTTGCCAGTTATTTTGGGTTAGCATCTACCTGCAGTCAGTGTTGTCATGTTTGTGCCAGAGGAATACAGTGTTTGAGACAACAGTGTTTTTTTAAAAATCACTTTATGACTATGAGACTTCATATAATAAACTAGATACCATCGCCACCCCTTCTGTTGAATTGCAAAAATTGTAGTGAGAATTTTTGCAGCTAGAATACTTCAAATAATTATCTATGAATTCATTTATCTTGCTGTCCTACCTCATTTTGTTGGTGATATCTATGTTCCTGCTATGTGGATCTCACAGGAACTGAGTATTCCAGAAGGGGCAATCTCTAGTCACATATGCAAGGAAGGTGGGACTCCTAGCAAGAATTCTTTAATTTCTGGTAGATTCTTAGCAGTCTCTTTCCAGGTACCTAAGGAGTACATTTATTTATTTATTTATGAGACTTATATACCGCTTTAAGTGCAAGCACTCTCTAAGTGGTGTACACCAGTAAGCAATGTATTTATATATTTACATTGCCCCCAACAATCTGGGTCCTCATTTTACCTACCCCGGAAGGATGGAAGGCTGAGTCAACCTTGAGCCGGTGAGATTTGAACCGCTGACCTGCTGAACACAGTCAGCTAAAGTGGCCTGCAGTACTGCATTCTAACTGCTGCGCCGCCTCGGCTCTTTGAGAAATTACTGGCACTCTGTTTATTGGATCTATTATATTCTGGCATCTTTAATTTAAAGTAGATGGCTGCATATTTAAAGATTAAAAAAATTGAGCAAGATGATTAAGATATTAGTTTGGATTGTGAATTATGCACAGCCTAGTGGTCTATGCTGGAAATAGCAGCAGGAGCTTGTCTATCTGCGAGGGAAATAACAACATATAAAACTGGCATAAAAATAGGGAATTCTCCAGCACAGGAGATGGAGAATCCACCAATGGATTAATTCTATCTTCCTGCCCATTAGATCAAGTAAGTCAAACTTGCCACACCCATCCTGGACTAGGACATACCCAGTCTTGACTTGATCTCAGCCCAGAACAGACGTGCAAGTTTGGCTCCTAGATCAGGAAGGTAGACAAAAATATTGGTCAATTCTCCATTTTTTTAGCCTTCATCAGATTTCAGTCTCCTGAGTAGCTCTGGGCTCAGCGCTACCATAGCTGACTGTCAGAGGCTTGACCTACTTTCCCCAGCTCCTTTTCATTGCTTTTTGCGGTGCTGAGCTCAATGCCACAATCTACAATCCCCTCCCCCTTCTGTCTCTAGAAGCCCCCCCCTTTGCTTCCAGTCCCTCTTGGAGGCACTGGGAGGCTCTCCCTGCGGCCGCGGCATTGCGGCTGCCATTTTGAAAGCCGTGTGGCGCTCCGCCGCACCTAAACCAGTTAGCCCCCATTGCTTCCAGCCTGTCTTGGGGGCACTGGGAGGCTCTCCCTGCAGCTGCGGCATTGTGGCTGCCATTTTGAAAACCACGTGGCAATCTGCCGTGGCTAAATTGACCATTTCTCAGCGTGCGACAGCCAGGTGATTCCCTAGGCCTCATGAAGCTCATGCAGGTCTTGGCCTGCAGACCCCCTGGGGTCCGCAGCACTTCCATTAGTGCGGCCGCTATTTTGGACGCATGGCTGCTGTAGCTGCCATCCAAGAGATACGACGGGCACGCGGGGGGGGGGAGGATTCCTGACTTTATCAAATAATCCGCCTTGTTTCCCCCTACAGGGGGACTGAGGGAGGAACTGAAGAGTTACGGCTGCCATCTTGTACGGCCTACATACTCGATTTTTTCTCCTTCGCCAGGTATCAGGGCAGGATTGGGACTAGCTCAGTTTCACATTCAGACTCCCTTTCCTGAAACAGATCGTCATTTTCTCAGGGGGAGTCTTTCGCTTGGTTAGAGAGACACTGCGTGCCCTGACAGGTTAGTTGCATAAACTAGGCCCCAACAGGCCTCAATCTGATGCCTCATCTCCCTCCTGGCCACCATTTAGCGGGCTATGCATTTGGTCATCACGTGAGTGATTGTGCCACCTCCGCATATCTACCCGCTGCGTATACTATGCTGACACTCATCATCTTGTTGGCCTTGTCACCACTGCGTATCCTATGAACTGGCTGGCTGTCGTCACTCACCTGACTTTGCTGCGGCGGTAGACATGACCGGGCCCCCCAGGGTCATTACCGGTCTGGTGGCCAGGGGAGTAGGATGACATTAACATTCCCCTGCTCCAACTACTTACCCGCCAATTGATCCACTGCCAGAGTTACCTCTTAGCACTCCTGAGATAACTCTCCTCAGGATGGAGGATACCACGGCTCTCCAGCCTAAGGATACCTCACCTTCATCCACTAGCCGGAAGAGGCACAGGTCCTCCAACCAGGAGGCAGCAGGCAGGATCACGGCCAAGGCTAAGGCCATCTGCACAGGAAGCCTTCTAAATTGGCAGCGAAACAGGCCAGCAGGAGGTCATCATGCGAGTGATTGTGCCAGGGCAGAGGCGGAACAGGCAGAGGCCTTACTCTTTGATCTTCCACTGGGGCCCTCGACCTCTTTCCAGGGGGTCTGGTCACCAGTAGGGATTCCTGCACACCCCTTTTCCTGGGGTGGATCAAGGTCCCACCATTCACCAACCTCCATTGGCGCTGCGGGTCCCACATTCAGCCCCAGAGGCGACTTTCATCCCCATGGCTGCTGGACTCAGGGCAACTGAGCCCAAAACCACCCCTCCTGGCGATCGCCCTCAAACCCTAAGTTCTCAGGCGGTTGACCAGGCGCTTGCTGCCAGCGCCTACCACATGCCCAGAGCTGAATTAGTGGTATCTTTTCCCCCATCCTACCCTCACTAGTCGGGAGCACCAGAGTACCATGGGCCTCCCTCACCATCCCGTTCTTCTTACAGTATCTCCAGATTACGAACAACCTGATATACCATGGTTGGAGGAGGAGGACCCTCTCCCAGACTCCCCTCCATTTGGAGGTCTTTTTAACCCAGCTGTTTTCTTGCCTCTGTTTCGCAAGGCCAGTGCAACTGCCAATATAGGCCCCGATAGGATTCCTCAGTCGGACCCTGCACCCGCTTCAGATCCGAACCTGGTGTTTTCTGAGCCAGTTGTGACTCAACACCATGTCCCTTGTCCATCTCTTTTCCTAAAAGTTCGGAAGCAATGGGTCTCCCCTGGCACCTTCCCTCCTCTGGGGAGAACGGACAAGAAATTGTTCAGTGCTGCACCAGACTTGGCTGACGCACTGGAGGTGCCAACAGTGGATGAACCCCTGTCCCCCTCTTGTCCTTATCCACACTCTCTGGCGATATGGCCACCACCACAGACTCCTGGGTCCTAACCATCCAACACAGCCTGTCCCTGGAATTTGTGTCCAGATCTCCAGAACGCTTCATTTCTTGCCCTCAATCAAAGAACCTCCATAAAGAAGGGCCTCATGCAGGAGGCCATTCGTCATCTTTTAGACATAAAGGCCATAGAACCGGTGCCAGCCGGTCAGAGGGACAGGGGATTTTATTCCATCCTCTTTGTGGTTCCCAAGACTCGGGAGGATGGAGGGTGATTCTAGATCTCAAAGGTCTGAATTCCCATATTGCATACCGGAAATTCAAGATGCAAACATTCCAGTCCATCTTGGGAAGCGTAAGAAACAGGGACTTCCTGACATCCATAGACCTCACGGAAGCAAATCTCCACATCCCCATCCTCCCCGACCACCGGCGGTTCCTCAGGTTCACTTATATAAGCCATCACTACCAGTACAGAGCCCTGCCATTCGGCCTGTCATCGGCTTCAAGGGCATCCTGGCGGTGCTCGCCGCACACCTGAGACTGGTACCAGTATGCGTTCAATGCTACCTGGACTACATCCTCATCCAGTCGTCCCTCCATGACACCCAGTCGGACCTGATATTGGTGATCAGGGTCCTCCAGGACCACAGGTTCTCGGTAAACTTTCAAAAGAGCCAGACAGTTCCCTCGACCAGGCTCTTACATCTAGGTGTCACCATAGACATGGTCAGCTGCCAGGTTTACCTGTCCCAGGAACGTCGGGACAGTATCCAGAACCTGGTCCTCAAAGTATGCAGGGAACGCGTAGTGTTGCTTGCAGTTCTTTCCCAGCTTCTGGGAAAGATGATATCGTGCATAGCGATTGTACCCTGGGCCAGGCTACATTCCAGGAACCTCCAGTGGTTCCTGCTCCCTTCCAAAGGTTGGGCACCAGCTCCTCCAACCAAAGGGTAAGGGTCCCTTCCCAGACCTTACGGTCTCTAAGGTGGTGGTCCTTACCAGCGGTAGCTAGAGGGTCCTTCTTCAAGGAGCCCCTTCGGCTCATGCTTATGATAGACGCCAGTCTGTTCGGTTGGGGAGCACACCTTCAGTCGCAGTTGGCTCAAGAGCGGTGGTCCCAGTCAGACCTGAGGCACAACATCAATTGGTTGGAGCTCAGAGCCATACACCTGGCTTTCTGCCACTTCCACAACAAGGTTGCGAGGCAACACATGCTGGTCCTTACGGACAATATGGTGGCAAAGGCCCATGTGAACCGGCAAGCGGGTACCCATTCCAGGACCCTCATGGCTGAGGCCCAGTTGTTGGGCTCCTGGGCAGAGACCAACCTCGCCTCCATCAGAGCCGACCACATCTTGGGGGAGACGAACTGACAGGCAGACTTCCTGAGCAGGTTAATAGTGGGCCACTCAGAATGGTGCCTGCACCCTGACCTCTTCAGGGAGATATCCAACAGGTTCGGCCTGCCGATCATAGACCTGTTTGCCTCTCCGGCAAATTCCCAACTCCTGAGGTTCTTCTCCAGATTCCCGTCCCCAGGGGCGGAGAGAGCGGATGCTCTTCGAGGTCCTTGACCGGAGGGCCTGCTTTACGCGTTTCCTCCTATCCCCTTGATTCCGGCTGTCATCCACAAACTCCTGCAGGAGAGGGCAGAGATGCTCCTCATGGCTCCATATTGGCCATGGAGGCCATGGTTTGCCGACCTGGTGAGCCTCTCCGGGTCTCCTCCATGGAGGATTCCCCCAGGTCGCATTTCTCCATCATCCAGATCCCCAGTGGCTCCAATTAACCGCCTGGCACTTGAACGCCGGATCCTGTCAGAGGAATCCTGTTCACCAGGCGTCATCTGCATGATTTAGGCCTCCCGAAAGTCTGCGACAAACTGTATCTATGATTCTACATGGAAGAATTTCTGTCAGTGGTGCGAAAGACACCATTTGACTATCTCAGATTTAACAGTTCCACGAATCTTGGACTACTTACTGGAGGGTCTTGACAAGGGCTTGGCATCTAATACCATACGCAGGCAGGTGGCAACTCTTTCCACCTTACTTACCTGTGACAACTCGGTGCCATTAGGTCAACATCCTCTGATTCGCTCCTTCATCAAAGGCGCCACCAACACTAAGGCCCCCGTAGTTCATAGATATCCCACTTGGGAGTTGCCGCAGGTTCTACAGGCCCTCACAAGGCCGCCTTTTGAGCCTCTCAGAACTTGTGATCTGCGATCCTTGTCTCTCAAGGTCGCCTTCCTGGTGGCGATTACATCTGCCAGGATTTCTGAGTTGGCGGTGCTTTCCATCAGGGATGACCTATGCATTTTTCATCGGGACCGAGTGGTCCTTCGTTTGGACCCCACTTTTATTCCAAAAGTCAACACTCTGTTCCATAAGGCTCAGGAAATTGTGCTTCCGGATTTCTGCCCTAATCTGTCTCATGACATGGAACGGCAATGGCATTCTCTGGACGTCCATAGGGCCCTCCGCTGCTATATCAAGCGGACAGCTGCCTTCCGCATTCTTCTAAGGGATGGAGGGTGTCTGCCTCTATGATAGGCAGATGGATCAGTGCTTGCATTGCAGGGGCATACCAGTTGCATTCCCTGCCAGTTCCACGTCGTATCACAGCCCACTCGACGCGCAGTGCGGCTACTTCTGCGGCATGGGCCACTCAGGCGTCCATCAGGGAAGTTTGTAGGGCGGCAACATGGTCTTTGCCTTTACCATTTGTGAGGCATTACAAGCTAGACAAGTTTGCCTCTGCGGAAACCTCCTTTGGTCGGAGGGTTCTCCAACAAGTGGTACCTAGGGACTTGACACTGGACCTGACTGCTTCCCTCCCGCAGGGACAGTGAGGCTTTGATATGTCCCATTGGTGGATTCTCCATCTCCTGTGCTGGAGAAGGGGCGTTGTCTTACCTGAACGCCTTTTCTCAGCATGGAGATGGAGAATCCACTCCTACCCATTCTGGTCCGTCAGGACCGGTGTTAGGGTTCTAGGAGCTAACACGTCAGACTATGGTCAACGGCTTTCGCCCTCATCGAGACTTGGTGTGTCCTAGTCCAGGATGGGCGTGGCAAGTTTGACTGACTTGATCTAATGGGCAGGAAGACAGAGTTTACCCATTGGTGGATTCTCCATCTCTATGCTGAGAAAAGGCGTTCAGGTAAGACAACACCCCTTCTGTTGACTAATTGACAACAATATAGCAGGGCAGAGTTTTGGTTGGGGTTGGAAATTCCCAGGTGCCTAAATCCCTGTCAAGCTGGACTAGCATATATATTTCCAATTCTGGTTATTTTAGTATGAAATCTGGAAACATAGACACATTGAAAAGTGACTGCAGAAAAAAATGTAGTGATTCATCGAGTCTACCCATTGAGCTTGTTTTGGTTTTTTAAATTTTAATTAATTTATTCATTCATTCATTATTTTTATTTTTTTATTTTTAAAAATTTTATGGGACAAGAGACATGTTTATCTCAAGCACATTTAAACTCAGTTACTGATGATTGACCCACTACCTCTGCTGGAAGTTGGTTCCAAACTTCCACTATTCTTTCTGTGAAGTAATAGTTTCTAACATTATCTCTGAACTTTCCTCCTATTAGTTTTAGGTTATACCCCTGTGTTCTTTTGATTTTTGCTTAATATTGAAAATACTGCCTTCTAGAATCTATTATCAGCTAAAATAGCATAGTGGTAGATATGGAATTTAATATTTTACATTTCTATTTTTTTTCATTGCGGAGATCAATTTAAATTGAAAAATATTGCCAGAGCCAATATTTTTGGCTCTGGCAATATTAGTGAAATTAAATGGAAAAATCCATACATTGTCCTATCATTTAACTTCCTTTCATTCAAATTCAAATTGTTCTGCCTGTTTCATATGTAAAGGAGGGCTCCTCATATTATCTCTCTCTTTTCAGTTAATTCTCAATTCCTTTGTGACTTTCCAGCTCATGCTTCCAACTCAGAATGGACCTAGCACATAAATTACTTTGAAACCTGAATTTTATTACATTTGTTAAAAACAGGCCTATTCTGCATTGTATTACCAAGCATTTCATTTGCTTCTTTTTTTATTGAAAAGTTTTATAAAAATTACAGTATACACCCCAAACCCACCCACCCTAACCGCCCCCACTCCCTCCCCCACTTCCCAGAGCTGAGTACAGGGTTACAAATATAATAATCAAACTCTAACTAACATTAACCAACTGTATAAATAACCAAGTCCATAATGCGCTTTAACTCCCATTTCATTTGCTTCTTATGGATAGTTATTGGATAACTATTTTTCAGAGATTTAGGTTTTCAGAGAATATGAATTCTTCAATGAGGAAGAATAAATGGGTATGCTTATTTACATATATAGATTGGTGGATGGTGGATATGAAGAACAGGGAAGCTGATTAAAGCATTGTATTTGAAATATTGTATTTGAAAATTTGAGTATCGCACAATATGAACATTCTTCTTCCACGCTGTAAGAAGAGCCTTCATGGCGCAAATGTTAGAATGCAGTATTGCAAGCAAACTGTGCCCATAGCCTGGAGTTGGCGCAAGGTTGATTTAAGCCTTCTATCTTTCTGAGGTTGGTAAAATGATGACCCAGATTATTGGAGGCAACTGCCCAGAGAGTGTAACTGCCCAGAGAATGCTGTAAAGCACTATGGAGTGGTATATAAGGCTACGGGCTAGATGCTATTTGCTTAGAGAAGCTGCCCAAATTTTTGTATGGTTGTAAAAGTCAACAGTGGAAAACTAAGGGAGCAAATATGATTCAAATAAGCATTTACTTTTATATCAGATACCAAAGACTTTTACATTTGAAATTGTTCCGATTCTCTTTTAGTACATTATTGCCCTTTCTGTCAATAATATAGAGACCATCAAATTGCTTTGCATTTGAGTCCTATTCAGGTTGGCATATATGCCTCAAATTGAAAGCCTGTATGGCTAAAGTATCTGTAGTAAATGAGTAAAGAATGTAAGTATAGACAATCACTCTGCTTTCTTGCTCTAGAGTTTATTCTGTGAATTTTATGCCAACATATAAAATATTGTCCAAATATAGGCAATTATTTTCCCTCCGGATGTTTTTGATGGCAGCTTCCATCATTGCTGGTAAACATTATCAATACTGTATAATTTTAGGACTGCAATCCAAATTGCTGTGGGTGACTAGCTTTGATCGTACATTTAACCATGTTTTTTAAACAAGCCATTTTGACTAGCTTCATTTATAAATGAAATAATCACTGAGTTAAAATCAGATAAACATTATGGTTTAGTGTGGGGCACTAGCTGTTTGTATATGTATTAGGATTTTGGATGGAGAACAATCACATACCTAAAAACTGTATTCTGGTACTTATGAAGATTTTCAGCCATGACTGGAACTCTTCGTCAGCACCATGAAACATTTGGAGTCTTGGAGGTACTACTAGGAGATTAGCCTCTGAGCTTATACCAATTCTGTTTCTTCATTGCTGAATCACAGCAAGTGTTCATAAATTGTATATCAGAATGTTGCATAAAAGACTTTGTTGCCTATTGAAAAATCTATTTAATTTTCTTTTGGCAATACAGAGTTGTATTGATAATACTTTATTGCTTACTGGCTACCTACTATATGTGCAGATTTGTTCTGTTACGTTTTGTAACACCTGTTTGTTGACACAATTTTTTTGGCAGTTTGCTGAGTGGTACCCATTTTTAATTATGTATTTTTTCATGAGGGTATGTAACTTGGCAATTGTCAAAACTCAGTTTTATATAAACATTTTTTCACTGATATCACTAAATCCATCCTATAAGTGAAATCAAATACTGAATCTTCCGTCAGGTTTCATCTGTAGTCAGCCTCCTCATTGGCAGCAGAGATTTTGATGGAGGAACAAGAGGCTGAATTTGGAAAAACAGAAGCTTCTAGTGTAAAAGGAAATTGTATTGATTGTCTGAAATGACTATAGAAAAGTCAAGTTAAAGTTGTTGGATCTCTGTTTGTCTCTTTTTAAAGCACTTCCTCCCTATTCAGCTTCTATTTTGTAAAATGAACATAATCATGACCTGTTTCGCAGGGTTATTATGAAAGTAAACAGGATGAATACTTTAAAGCACCTGACAATAACCAGATTGTGCAGTCAGCAATTTAATTTCATATTGTGCACTGAATAGTCAAGATTTATTTATTTATTTATTTATTTATTTTATGAGACTTATATACCGCTTTAAGTGCAAGCACTCTCTAAGTGGTGTACACCAGTAAGCAATGTATATATATAAACAACTTGTTTGATATAAACAAGATATAAACAACTTGTTTGAAATGGCTGCTCTTTCTTTTGAAAACTCAGAATCTTAATTTGGTTGTATCCTTAGATCTAGATGTTATCTTTAGATGCCAAAATGCTTTTCACCAACTTCATTGGCATTGCTGGAACAACTGTATCTGGAAATAGCATGTAAGATTTCAAATGTTTTATCTGAAGTCTGTTATGACTTAATTATTGTTTTGTAGAGTGGTTAAAGGCAGAGTGCAAATTTGTTTGGGTTAGAATATGCCTTGCCAGGTATTGGCAATATTAAAGTACACATTTACACATATTTCAATTAGTTAACATTAGTGAGCCATTTATTAAATGTTAGTCCTGTCTTTTGAAGCCCTCTTCTTCTCATCTCCATGACCACATCTTGTTTGAGATAGGCATCAGAGATGCCTGAAGATCAAACTGGCAGACACCAGACGTGGGATCAGTTTGATAGCCCTAAAATTGTAGGATCTTGCCCATTATGTTTTTCTCTTTTTATACATTTTCTCACTTTAAATCTTTGTTGTTTTACAGGATTATTTTTACAATATTTAATTGAATTGTATTGGTTTGGTACAGTTTTATTGTAAATTTATTGCAAATGCTTTTATGAAGCTAGTTTTTCAAGCGCAAGAGAATCCTGACTAATAAAGTATCAATGCTTCTTTATAGCTAAAAATGAATTTGCCTCATGTTAAGCATTAATCATAACAAAAAACAACTTACAAGCAATTACATAAACAGGAACGGTATTCTCTAAATATGATATACTGTCTGTCTCTTTATTGGCAAAAGTTACTCATATGTGATTCTGTAGCAAGCTGGTTCTTTGGAAGTAAATTTGTTCCTTTAAGACCAATATTCATGGAGGGACAAAAAGACGCAGAAGTTGGCAACCTTCAGGGATAAGGTAGCTGATCCCAGTCTCTGACGTCTCAGTGGCTGTGATGCCTCCACAGTTCTAGAAGTGATTTTGAGATCTTCAAGGAGGAGGAAAAGGATCCCTTACACAGTATTTGAAGGGTAAAGAGACAGCTCTTCCTCCCCATTCACCACTAATGCATGAGGCATTTGTTTGTTTGTTCAATTTCTATAGTCTCCCATATGAATCAATGACTCTTTGTTGTTGTTGTTGTTAGTTATGAAGTCATGTCCGATCCATCATGACCCCATGGACAACGTTCCTCCAGGCCTTCCTGCCCTCTACCATCTTCTGGAGTCCATTTAAGCTCACGCCTACTGCTTCAGTGACTCCATCCAGCCATCTCATTCTCTGTCATCCCCTTCTTCTATTGTCCTCAATCTTTCCCAGCATTAGGCCCTTCTCCAGTGAGTCCTTCCTTATCATTAGGTGGCCAAAGTACTTGAGTTTCAACTTCAGGATCTGGCGTTCTAAAGAGCAGTCACGGTTGATCTCCTCTAGGACTGACCGGTTTGATCGCCTTGCAGTCCAGAGGACTCGCAGGAGTCTTTTCCAGCACCATAGTTCAAAGGCCTCAATTCTTTTGTGCTCAGTCTTTCTTATGGTCCAACTTTCACAGCCATACATTGCAACTGGGAAAACCATGGCCTTGACTATACGTACTTTTGTTGGCAGGGTGCTTTTTAGTATGCTGTCTAGATTTGCCATAGCTTTCCTCCCCAGGAGCAAGCATCTTTTAATTTCTTGGTTGCAGTCCCCATCTGTGGTGATCTTTACAATTCAAAAAATATTACAATCAAAACACTAAAAACACTTTTAAAACAATAAACAATAAGAACACCCAAAATAAATATACGTAGCAGTGAGATATTTGGCCAATTAACAATACAGCTAGGAAACTGGAACTTTAACACATTCAGCATTCTAGGCTCGGGAACATAATGAGGGTTTCAGAGCCTTAAGAAAATTTAACAGAGTTAGGGCTATTCTAATATCTAAAGCAGTGGTTCTCAACCTTCCTAATGCTGCGACCCTTTAATACAGTTCCTCATGTTGTGGTGACCCTCAACCCCCCCCATCCTGCTGACTGGGGGGTATCAAAAACTTGACCCCCCCAAAAAAAGAAAAAAATGGGAAAGTATAGGTAGTCCTTGACTTACAACAATTCGCTTAGTGACTGTTTGAAGTTACAACTGCACTGAAAAAGCGAATTATGATCATTTTTCACACTTATGATTGTTGCAGCAACCCCAGGGTCATGTGATTTACATTCGGATGTTTGACAACTGATTCATACTTATGACATTCACAGTGTCCCAGGGTCACGTGATCAATGGCCAGGGGGCGTGGCCAGCTGATCACTCAGGTTGCAGAGTGCCTGTGGGGGGGGAATCTGTGGGTCTCTGGGGTGGGTGCCTGCCTTCCTTTCCTCCCTTCTCTCCCCTTGTCCCTTTTCTTCCTTTCCTTCACCTCCCTCTCCCATTGTCCCTTCCTTCCTTCTTTTCTTCCTTTCCTTCACCTCCCTTAGTCTCTTCCGCCTTCCCTCCCTCTTTCCCATTATCCCTTCCTTCTTTCCTTCCTTTCCTTCACCTCCTTCCTAGTCTCTTCCTCCTTCCCTCCCTCTCTCCCATTGTCCCTTCCTTCCTTCTTTCTTTCCTTCCTTTCTTTCACCTCCCTTAGTCTCTTCCTCCTTCCCTCCCTCTTTCCCATTGTCCCTTCCTTCTTTCCTTCACCTCCTTCTTAGTCTCTTTCTCCTTCCCTCCCTCTTTCCCATTGTCCCTTCCTCCTTTCCTTCCTTTCCTTCACCTCCCTTAGTCTCTTCCTCCTTCCCTCCCTCTTTCCCATTGTCCCTTCCTTCTTTCCTTCCTTTCCTTCACTTCCTTCTTAGTCTCTTCCTCCTTCCCTCCCTCTCTCCCATTGTTCCTTCCTTCTTTCCTTCCTTTCCTTCACCTCCCTTAGTCTCTTCCTCCTTCCCTCCCTCTCTCCCATTGTCCCTCCCTTCCTTCCTTCTTTCCTTTCCTTCACCTCCCTTAGTCTCTTCCTCCTTCCCTTCCTCTTTCCCATTGTCCCTTCCTTCTATCCTTCCCCTTCCTTCCTTCCTTCCTTCCTTCCTTCCTTCCTTCCTTCCTTCCTTCCTTCCTTCCTTCCTTCCTTCCTTCCTTTCTTCTTTGTCCCTTCCTTCCCTCCCTTCCATTGTTCCTTCCTTCCTTCCCTCTCTCATTGTCCCTTCCTTCCCTCCCTCTTTGTCCCTTCCTTCCTCACCCCCTCCGTGCCCAGGAAGGGACAAGGGGAGGGGGACAGGCTGCCAGAGGCAGAGGAGAGCTCCACCCAGCTCACTTGCTCAGCTTCGCCAGAAAACAAGCCGCTTGCTAAGTTAGCAGAAGCCCCAGCATCAGCGCTGGGCTACAGCTGACTCGCGCTTCTGCTAAATTAGCAAGCAGCATGTTTTCTAGCAAAGCTTGAGCAAGTTTGCTGGGCAGGAGCCAAGGAGAGCAGCTATAGCTGACCTGTTTCTTGGCTGCTCTGCAGAAGCGCAGATCAGCTGCCCCAATCCTGGACAAGAGGGAAGGAAGGAAGGAAGGGACAAGGGGAAAGAGGGAGGAAGGAGGGACAAAGAGGGAGGCGAAGGAAAGGAAGGAAGGAAGGGACAAGGGGAGAGAGGGAGGGAAGGAGGGACAAAGAGGGAGTTGAAGGAAAAGAAGGAAGGAAGGGACAATGGGAGAGGGAGGGAAGGAGGAAGAGACCAAGAGGGAGGGAAGGATATGAAGTTCCAGCCAGCAGAGGCTTGGCAGCCTGGCTGCCAAGGAACAGAAGAACGCAAAGCCAACGAGAAGAAGGTGGCGGTTTCCTCCCAAAGGGGGATCCTTTTCTCCACTCCTTCCCTGGGTTTGTGGGGAACTTCTCGTGACCAATGCTGACAGATGCTCCTTCGAGCCTGCCGCGAGCTTTCTCGCCCCCTTTGCTTCTCCCTCCCTGCTTTCATGAGGATTGTGGTGCCCTTGGGAAGCTGATTTATTTATTTATGAGACTTATATACCGCTTTAAGTGCAAGCACTCTGATTGTGCTTTGAAGCTTAGGAGAGGAGGAGGAGTCCCTTCCTCCTTCCCTCCCCCTCTCCCTGTCAAGCCCCAGCGGGCTCGACATGAACAGGCGGAGGAGGAGTCAAGGACGGACTGGGTGGCAAAGGAGACTGGTGGCCATTGCCAGACTTCCCGGCTGACAAGCGCAAATTCGGGGGTTGCCAGCTGACGGGCGCAGGAGTTGGGTGCTGCGGTGGCCTCCCCTTCGCTGACCTGTGTGCACGAGAAGAAGTCAATCTGGTTGCTGCACAATGAGTCTCTGGGGAGGGCGGGGTCTTGCTCTGCGCCTGCGCTATTCATGCGCCCCTTGCAGGGCACATTTGGTAGAGTTCGTGCAGACTGGAGCCAAGCAGTATATTTTCCATAAACAAGTGAGGTAGAGCGGAGGGGGGGAGGGAGAGAAGGCGGTTGACAAGCCCTGCCTATTTCCGATGGTCTTAGGTGACCCTTGTGAAAGGCTCATGCGACCCCCAAAAGGGTCGTGACCCACAGGTTGAGAACCGCTGAACTAAAGGAAGGATATTCCATAGAAAAGGGGCCACTACAGAAAAACCCCTTGTACTAGTCCCCACCAGCCGACACTTTGGCTGATGGGATCTGCAGCATTCTGCTAGATTGGGCTGGACGGATAGAGACTCTTTGGGAAAAGGTGATACCTGAGTTAATCTGATCCCAAACCTTGTTTGACTTTAAAGATGATCACCAGCACCTTGATTTACATCTAGCAATGCTACTGAGATATTGAGAAGAGCCGAGATGGATGTATTACCTCCATCCCGTTCCCACCAGATGTTATACACTAACACAGTCAGTGCTGTCTCAGTCTAGAGCCCAGGTCTGAACCCTGATTATTTATTAATTATTATATTTTGCTGGAAGTGGTCTAAATAATCTGCCTCATACAGGTTTCTCTGAAGCTGCCATGTGACCATCTTTTTACCCTCTTCCCTATAAGGTGACTGGCTACCTGGGTTAAGCGATAGTCTTTTGAGGAGGGGGCGCACCAATATCTCTTTAAGAGGTGGCAGGACAATTCCCCCTCTCAAGCAAGAATTAACTACCACCCAGACCCACTCACGTGTCTTCTCCCGCATGGCCTTAATTAGCCTAGAAGTTCACAGATCTAAGCACCATTGTGAACTAGCAGCTG